ACCAGGCACATGGGCTCTTACAGCAGGGAGCTGCAGGCTTTGAGAGACAAAGTGCTGGACTTGGAAAGAAGATCCAAGAGATATAACATCCATGTTGCTCAAGTGCCTGAGGGATCCCCAAAAAATTAATCCCATTGACTTTGTGACAGAACTGCTTCTTTGTTTTAAAACTCCCCTCAGACACTGATTTAGAGATAGAGGGGCCCACTGGAGGAAGCCTGACCTTCATAGCTAAGTTTCTGAGGTTTTCTCCAAAGAGGGATTGCTCAAAGCTGCCATACATCTAGGAAAGCTGAAATGGGGTGAGCCTGGCATTTATATAATGCTGATCTTCCCTGGGAGACAGTTGAAAAACAGGCTCTTTTCAAACCAGCAGTACAATAGGTTAGATTCAAGCAGCCTATAGACTTTGTGAATTACCCTGCCATCCTGAATCTGCTCTGCAAAGGGAAAATTTAAACTATATTTGACCCTAAAAAAGCAGGAACCTTTGTTACATTGTTACCATCAGGAGAGGGCAAAGTTATGAAATAATCTGAGTAATACTGGGTCTAATCTGAGTGAAATATCAGAGGAAGATGTCAGATTCTCTTAACCCTAAAGAAGCAAGACCCTTCAGCAGGGACATATCCAGTAGGGCTGTGCGAAATTTCCCCGGCTGTTTCATTTCGAACTCATTTAGTGCTCAAAACAGCTAAATCAAAATGAAAAGAAGGGCTTCAGAACAGCCTCGAAACAAAGCGAGGGCAGTCAAAACATTTTGAGAGTTTCGAAGCAGCCCAACTGAGTTCCCTCCCCAGTGCTAGGATCGGGCTGGGGAACGGAATTCAAGTTCAGCTGGGCTGAGTTCCCTTCCCCAGCCCAATTGAAATGTCGAACCAGCATCAAAACAGCAAATCCATTTCAACAAATCAGAATGGAACAGTGTTTTCAAATCGAAACAAAACTCAAAATGAAACACTTTTCTGTCAAAACGTCAAAACAGATGTTGAAGTGGAACGCTGCTGTTTTGCACAGCCCTAATATCCAGGTGGTCCAGTGTTGCAAATGCACCCCCGTTTGACTCCTGCTTCATTCAAATGTTAAAACCAACCGACTGAGAGGGACAACAGAATTTTCTATTCAGGCAGCACTGAGGGAATCAACTGACTTCATGGTGCAGTATTATCAATCTGATTCCTGCTACTCTCCGTGCAAAACACAGGTTTTAACAACCTTCTGTCTCCTTCTTAATGGTCTTGATGTTCCACCATTCAAGCTATTCTTTCTTCTGTAATTTTCCTGTCATGTACCATTCCTGGCAATTTCTCTCTTCTGTTTCACAGCCCTGAAGACTTCTTTTTTCAGTCCTAGCTAAAAACCGACATAGTGTTCACCCGAGATAATACTACCGTATCTAGTTCAGGTGTGGAACTGTCAGTGAAGTATTGGATGCACTGTCAAGAAACTCAAAGCTACACTTTGTTTTATGAATCTGAATAAGAGATTTTAATTATAATAACTACAGGACTAATGAACAATATCTCTTGACTATTTTGCCTAATTTGTGATGTTTTTATAATAAATGCATAATCTAGCAAATTAGTGCAAATTCCAATGAAGTTATATGTTTTTGCTTTGATCTTAAATGGAATAATATCAGGCTATACTTCTAGCATATTAGTAATGTTTTTATTTTCTCTTTAACTGGAGAAAAATGTATGTTTTGGTGTAGGTGATGATGTGCCACACTGTCAGCATCCTCCTGTCAAAAGTCCAGATCTGCCCATGCTTTCAGTAAATCAACCTTTTCTGGAGAAGCTGCAGCTATTGATTTAATTATGTGAAACTTTTTGTAGGAATATATCTCAGAAAGGCACAATCATTTAGATTTCTTATATTCCTCCACAATCTTAATACAATTAATATAAATTTACTTTTGAAAATGTTAAATATATCTGAATGCTATATAGATTTCAATTTATGGCTGTTACTTAAGGTTTACTTCCAAAATTACTTAAATATATTTTAGACTTATTTAACAGAATAATTAAAAAAAAAAGGTGTGGAGGGGGGAGAGAAGTAGGGATTTATCATTGGTCAGTCATAGCTTATCAATTATTTGCATTCATTATTGTCACAGAGTAATAGAGAGCTTTGGAAAACATATACCCAAACCTTTCTTGTGCTTTCTTGTATTTTCTTTTTTTTTTATTTTCTTTTTTCCTTTCTTTTTCTCTTCCCCATCTTTTTAGAAATGTGCTTGAGAGCTTATGTTCTAATGAAAGCTAGAAATGTGGGAGAATGTCAATATTGTGAACTGTAGCGGTATAAAGATAAATTTTATTCATTTGATTTTAAGGAAACTGACAAATCGCTATCTATAAACAAAAATGAACATAGATGACAAAGTCGCTGAGATTGGCCACTCCTATTGAGTAGGTAACTGGGTATATTAAGGGCCTTAACAGCCCAATTTTATATATAATATATAATTTTATATTTTGTATATCAAATTTTATATTTATAATTATATTATATATTATTAATATTGTATTGATAATATATAATCTTAATTATATATATTATATCATCTAGAATATATATATAAATGATATCATATGTATTATCAATGTAATATTAATAGTATATAATACGATTATAAACATAAAATTATACACATCACATGAATACATACTTATTTAATATATCCATATTGATATGCATAATAATATAGACAATGCATGAAATCTTCATATTTTCCCAAGCAGGAAACAACTTTGACCACCTGAAACCACATCCTGATGCTACCTTTGTCTAAGGTAATTTGCATTACCACAGCCTCACAGGAGACCTGAGACTCCTGACCAGCTAAGAACTGTCTGCCCAGAGGAGTTTTCCATCTATTGACTCCTCTGTGAAATCCTATGAAATATCAACTTTCATTTCTACCCAAGAGAAATTTTACGAACTTTTCTCTGATGCCTGCTGAAGGGTGTTTGTGCCCAAAAGCTTGCAATTAAAGATTTCTAATTTTTTTTGCAAAAATTTTGTTGGGATTTGCCTTCTTTTCCCAGGCATTCTGAAATGCAACCTTGTCTGAGACCTTAAATTACTGCTCCATGTATCTTCCAACTAGGAAATACAAACTGGGATTGATGCTACTCTTGACAGAGGCCATTAGGAGATGTGTCTCTTGTAGTATTAAAAAAATTAAAAAAATATAGACACAGGCCTGGGTACTTAAGGAAAGAACAGAGAGGAGAAAGAGGGCACTTAGCATATTAACAACGTAGTGCTGAGCTGGCTGACATCTATCAGTCACACTTACTTTTGGTGAACAGAATTGGATTGGGAACCACCACAATGAGTACATTTCAAAAAAAATAACAGAACCATTTTAAGGTTGTTACAATTTTAAGATTCTTGTGGGCAAAGAAAACAGAAAAAACTCTAGTCTAGTCCACAGGCCATAGAGAGCCTAGAGCAATGCAAATACCATAGCAGACAAGTGCTTTGGGTAGTAGAGTCAGTGCCTGATTAGGCTTAGGATGGGCAGGCACCCTCAGTGTTCATAAATTCATAGATGCTAGGGTCAGAAGGGACCTTAATGGATCATTGAGTCCAACCCCCTGCCTAGGCTGGAAAAAGTGCTGGGGTCATGTCACCCCAGCCAGGTGCTTGTCTAGTCTCCTCTTGAAGACCCCCCAAGGTCTTGAAGACCACCTCCCTTGGAAGTCCATTCCAGGTTCTGGCAACCCTAACCATGAAGAAGTTATTTCTGATGTCCAGCCTAATTCTACTCTCTATCAGCTTGTGGCAGTTGTTCCTGGTTATTCCAAGGAGTGCCCTAGTAAACAGAGCATCTCCTATTCCCTGTTGCCCCCACCTGGTGAGTTTGCATACTGCCACAAGATCCCCTCTCAGCCTTCTCTTGCAGATGCTGAAAAGGTCCAGTTCCCTCAGTCTTTCCTCATAGGACCTTTCCTGCAGGTCTCTAACCATAAGAGTGGCCCTCCTCTGGACCCTCTCAAGGTTGTCCACATCCCTCTTGAATTGCAGCACCCAGAACTGGACACAGTACTCCAACTGTGGCCTGACCAGTGCCACATAGAGGGGAAGCATCACCTCCCTGGACCTGTTTGTGATGCACCTACTAATGCATGACAAAGCATGGTCAGCTCTGCTAATTACTTTGTCACATTAACAAGTCATATTCATCTTGGAGTCAACAATGACTCCGAGATCTCTTTCCGCTGCAGTGCTGCTGAGAAGGTCATCCCCCAGCCTATAGATGTGCTGGGGATTCCCTCTCCCTACGTGCAGCACCTTGCACTTGTCCTTGTTGAACTGCATCCTACTGTTCCCTGCCCACTTCTCTAACCTGTCCAGGTCCACCTAGATTCAATTTCTTCCCATCAGTGTGTTTACTTCACCCCATAGTTTTGTGTCATCTGCAAATTTGGGCAGAGTGCTTTCCACACCCTCATCGAGGTCCCTGATGAAGATATTAAACAGCACTGGCCCAAGACCAAGCCTTGGGGAACCCCACTGCCCACATCTTTCCAGGTCAATTCTGAGCCATCCACCACCACTCTCTGGGTATGACCCAATTTGCCACCCTCATGGCTATGTAATCATCTACAGCACAGCTGTTCAATTTGTTTATGAGAATAGTTTGGGATACCATGTCAAAGGCCTTCTTAAAGTCAAAGTAGATGACATCTACCTCGACTCCTGCATCTAAGCATACAGTGACCTGGTCATAGAAAGCAGGTCACTTGTTGATGGCTGTTGAGATATACGTGCCAATAATGTAAGTCAATAAAATCTTTGGTGAGTTGGATTCAGAAGGTCACTAAGTTGTGAAATAAAACAAAATTACATTAGAAGATAGGGAGTGGCATGAGAAATAGACAACTTGTGTGAATTGGCGAGAAGACGAGAGTGAGAGAAACAAAATATTTTCTTGGTATCATTGGTGATAGCAAACAACTACAATCCATCCAACAAACACTTACCTTCCTTCACCCTCAACCATGCATCTAGGAATGCCAGTCCAGAAACGACTTGCAATGTAATCCACAGGTGTCACAATTCTAAACTAGAGGTCACAGAAGCAGGGCTTCTCCTCCATAAAAGGAGAGTATTTCCATCTGCAACATCACAGCACTGGTTTTTTTCTGCTGGATGATACTGTATAAAAGAAGTTATTTGCCAAAGATGATGCATCTTGTGATAGATATCAGAGAAAGGCCCATTTATCTGTGAAAGCTTCCTGCTG